AATATTCCCAAGAAAAAAATGTTTAGCTTGCGTGTCACTGTCTACATTACAGCCTCCTGTGCCCTGAAATTATCCTGAATGCAGTTGTTATTTAGGCTTAGAGCTTGCCAGTTTGGCAGGAGAGTACTTGTATATGATCACATTAGCAAATGTTTCTTTTTTGGTATTCAAATATCTGTCAAAAATAATAAAATCCTTGTCTACTGACTTCAGTGACCATGTTCTATTAGACCTAGGTGGTCTGAGGTATTTTTAGCACTGAGACTCTTGACATTAGCCTCCTTCTTCCTGTAGTCATCCCCTTTCCCACATATACATACCTAGATTAAGAGACTTTGTTCTCCACCCGAACATGGGACCTTTGGGATCACAGAAAGGCAAATTTCATGTCTTCTTTTTTAAAATATTGTTTAGTTATCAATGGGTGTTTATTTTATTTATTTATATGTGGTGCTGAGAATCAAACCCAGTGCCTCACACATGCTAGGCAAACATTCTACCACTGAGCCGTAAACCCTGCCCCCAGGTTTCACGTCTTCTCACAGAACCCAGTAACCAGATATCTGGACAGGCTGATGGATTTTTTTTTTTTTTTTTTTTTGGCGGCGGGGGTGGGGGTGGTGGTGCCATCAGGATGGCACAGTGAAGCTACAGTATCTTTCTGGGGCTACAGACCTCTTGGGTAAGATCTTGTCCAATTGCTTTTTGTATCCTTGATGTTGGTGCTTCCCAAGTGCTTGCTAAAGCATGTGGATTTCAATAACATACAGCCTTCAGGTTGCCCCCACCCTACTGTTTGTGCTTTACCAAGTGTGTCTGCTCATTTTGTGGCAGAGCTTTTACTTCTTAGGAAAATTACAATGTGTACATTCCTTATGTAGAAGAAACATCTTTTCTTTCTTCTTCTTGTCTTTTTTTTTTTTTTTTGGTGTGGATCAAACCCAGGGCCTTGTGCTTGCTAGGAGAGAGCTCTGCCACTGAACTATAACCAAAAGAGTTTATTTTCTTCTATAGCTAAGTGTATTTCCTCTTTCCTTTTTATTTCATTCTTTTATCTTTCTGTTGCTAATGCTGTGAACTTCTCTTTGGTTTCATCTGCCTTTACCTCTCTGCTCCTCTCTGGTGAAAGAGGTAACCCTTCTCCTGCCCAAGAGTAGTCTACCTCTTAGTCTAATCACCTGATTGCTTTTCTTCCTTCTCTTGGCCCTTTAGCCCTTCATTGATTCCCAGCTTCCCTTCTTTACAGTCTCTTTGTCTTGTGGGTTTCCTCTGCAGTCTCTGAATATGTCTACATTTATCTTGGTGATCCTCAGTGCTCTTTAGTTAACTGCCTTCTCTCATGATCAAGTTTCTTGAAAGAATAATTTATTTTTAGAATCTTGCAAGTCTCACTTCTCATTTCCTTTCCAGTCTGTGGTTATCAGTTGGTTTTCTTTTCTTTTTGCTACTGGGAAGTGAATGCAGGGGTGCTCTATTAGTGAGCTACATACCCAGTCTATTTTATTTAATTTATTTTTTGTTGGGAGCTGTTACTTGGGATTGAATTCGGGGGCACTCAACCACTGAGCCACATCCCCAGCCCTATTTCATATTTTATTTGGAGACGGGGCCTCACTGAGTTGCTTTTCCTAAGGCTGGCTTTAAACTCGCGATCCTTCTGCCTTAGCCTCCTGAGCTGCTGGGAGGGCGCCTCTCACACTCCCAGTCCATTTTATTTTATTTTTTAGTTTTTTTTATTTTATTTTTGAGTTATAGTTGGACACAATACCTCAGCTCATCATCTCAGCCTTGCACCTGCTGTCCTCCACACAACAGATGCCTCCTCCTGAGAGCATTATCCCAGTAAATAAATTCACTGGTTTTCTTGTTGTGAATTAAGAGACCCTTGCATTTGTCCTGTACTCCTTTTTCTCTCCTTTTCCTATTTCATTCAATTAATTGACACATCCTGCTAATTCTGTCAGAGATCTGTCTGTCCCTTTCTTTTAAGTTTGCATTCTCATATCTTGCCTGTACTACTCTAGCAGTTTCCTGCTCCTAACCTTCTCCTTGCTGATCTGTCCTCTACACTGACTAGTACTATACGTGCACTCTCATGTGCAAATAACATCATAAAACCTCGCTGCCTAAAGACCCCAGCTGTGTCCCATTACATATAAGGTAAAGACCAGATTCCTTACCTTGGAATATGAGGTCTTCCCTGTTTATTTAACTTGTGTGCCCTTATCTATCCCACCCCATCTTACTCCCACCCTTGACCAACCAAGCATTTTGTAGTTTCTCTAATGACATGGTGCATGCCTTTTTTTTTTTTTTTCTTACAAGTTTCTTCTATTCCTTACTTCCTGGTAAATTCCTGCCTATTCTCACATCAAGATGTGGTACCTCACTTGAGAAGTCTCTCTGGTCTTGCCTCTGCCCCTATAGAGCTATCCTTCCATCATTGTAGCCCTCCACCCTCAGGTATAAGCTTTCCTTAAAAAGCAGGGACCACCCTGAAATTTCAATTTTTGGTTTTGCAGTTTTAATTCTCTGACCCAGCTATGGGCTTCTTGAGCGTAGGTACTAATTAAGCCTTACTCACCTAACACTGGGAAGGGTAGGTAGTTTGCTTCAGTAAAGGTTACAGGCATATGTGAATGTGAAGAGCTTTTAGTAAAAATTGGTGAATCACCTACAATCTTGTTCCCTTTCAGGAGACAAGCCCAGAAAGCCAAGAGATAATTGTGGTGAAACCTCAAGATTTACTTTATATCTTACCTTCCCAGATAAGTTGTAATTAAAGGAATCCTTATAATGCAGATAGCAACAACTAATGTTTATTTAGTGCTTTATGTCCTGTGGAATGTCCAGAGGAGAAACATGAAGTAGGGAAGGGTGCAGCCTACTAGAGGAAGACTACAGCCCGTGAGCAGTGAAGCAGGGCTTGGGCCCCAGACCTTCTGATTCCAGAGCCTGTGTTCTTATCATTACACGCTGTCTCCAATGTGTCTACCAACATGTGATTTAAAGAATTAACAAAGTTCCTTTTTTCAGAGGGATACTCTCCTCCATTGTCCTCATTCTCTTGTCAACAAAGAGTTCATTTACTTTATCACACACACAGGCACACACAGTGTGATGAACTTTTTGCTTCATTATTCCCTGTGAACTCGTAATTTCAAGGAAGGCAGATGAGGTCTTTGTCTTCTGGGAACTTAGAATCTTCAGACAAGCAATACTGAATCTGAGAGAAATGTTTTTGATGTGCAGGAAATTGAATGAGTATGTGGTTAGTGAAGATTTAAATATTGTATGTGACTCATTTGTTCAGCAGTCCTTGTTGAGCCACCTGTCTAAGAACTGTAAGACTGTTACATTCCCTTTTCTCATAAGGGTTGCAGGCAAGTAGTCATAGACAGGTATTAATAAGACATGTCTACCAAAGAGAATGACTTGTATTGCAGGTGTATTGAGGCCTAAGGTTAACCTGGGGACCTAGAGGTTACTTCCTCTAACTGGCCTTGTTCTTTCTTCTACAAATCGACCAAGGGGTGCCTCCTAGTTCCTTCCAGCTTATCATGTCTTTTACTATGAAGGTGCCTTTGTTAAAACCATGAGTCAGGCAACAGAACATAAAGTATCATTATTTTATGTGAACTAATTATTCAATAATAAAGCTAAATGTTTCATTTATTATCTCTGTAAGCAAAGAGTTCAGGCTCAGAATGTCCATAATGACTGTCTTCCTCTGCTGTGGAAAACACCCATAAGTMACAGCTATGCTTCGTATTCTAGTGGGCTCTCTTAGTATCTTTATAGGTGATCTGATATTTGAGAGATTAGATTCTCTTTTTGATCATAAAAATCATCAATCCTCTTGCCCCCAGTACCAGTATTTGATGTGTAAAGCAGGAATAATAATCCAAAACTTCTTAAACCCTCAGAGGCACTGATTCAGCAAGGAAGCAAACATTCGTTGAACATCTGCTTCAGGCACAGGGCTGGTAGGGTACAGTACAAATGGGAATGAGAAGTAGTCCCTGCCCTTAAAGAATTTATGACTTCGGGGTAGAGAAGAAATTACCTGTGTAAGAAACTGTTATAAGTGCTGTCCTAGTAGTTTACCTGGAATTAGGGGCACATATGTAAGAGTAGCTGGTTTTATAGACTGGCAAGAGGGGAAATGAGAGGACAACATGGCGTAAGGAAGAGGACCTGAGATTTAGAGTCAGAAAACCTAGGGTTTTAGAATCTAAGCACTCTACTCAGATTAGCTTTCTCTCTGATTTAGCTCTCTGTATTTGATTCTTTGGGCCTGAGTTGCTTTATCTATGTATTTTTTTCATTTTCTTTTTGTTACCCAGGGATTGAAAGCCACTGAGCCATATCTCCTGCCCCCAACCCTTTATTTTTTTCTTGAGACATGGTCTCACTAAGTTGCTTAGGGCCTCGATAAGTTGCTGAGGCTGGCTTTGAACTTAGATCCTTTTGCCTCAGCCTCCCAACCTGTTGAAATTACAGGCATGTGCCACTGCATCATGGTTTTTTTTTTTTTTTTTTTTTTTTTTTTGAGACAGGGTCTTGCTGTTTCCCAGGCTGTTCTGGGTTCAAGCAGTCCTCCTCTCTCAGCCTCCTAAGTAGCTGGGACTAGAGAGGTATGTGCCACCATGCCCTTGCCTCATGTACATAATAGGAATTAACAGTAGAGCTGAGTATAGTGGCATACACCTATAATCCCACTTACCTGGGAGGCTGAGGCAGAAGGATCACAAGTTCAAGGCCAATCTCAGCAATTTAGCAAGGCTCTGAGCAACAGTAAGATCCTGTCTCCAAATAAAAAATGCCAGGGAAGTGGCTTAGTGGTTAAGCATGCCTGGGTTCAATTCCTGGGACACATCCTCCCTTCTACTTGGAAGGTGTGGTTCCAGCGTCCCTGCTCACCTGCACTCTTGGGGATGGAATCTGCAGTACTGGTGTGTCTTAACCTGGACCTTTCCTCTCTTCCTCCCTTGCACCAGATTTTATCATGTGGGCAACCTGCTGCAACTGGTTCTGCCTGGATGGACAGCCTGAGGAGGTCCCACCAGCCCCCGGAGCCAGGACACAAGCCTATTCCAACCCTGGGTACAGCTCCTTCCCATCCCCAACAGGCTTGGAACCAAGCTGCAAGGCCTGTGGGGCCCACTTTGCAAACACAGCCAGGAAGGTGAGTGCTGCCTTCTCAGTCTGCTCTGTCCACAGCCTTAGGACCACAGGCAAGGCCATTGGCCTTGCTCTGAATGCCTGCCACCTGACCTCTACTAATGTGGTGCTAGGGACCCTGGCCCATCCCTTTTTTAAGGATGTTCAAGAACGACTACTGAAGTAAAAGCCAAGCATCTCAGCATAGATTTGGAACCAATTGACTTGAATTCAGATAACAGCTTTGTCAATTACTAATTGTATGACTTAACCTCTCTTGAGATTCAGTTTCCCCTTCTGTGAAGTGGGGATGACAATGGTAGCCATGTCCTAGAGTTAGAATAAAATAAGCTATGAAGAGCCCCCCAGCATGATGCTCGGAATATAACAGGTCCCAGTGTTGTTTGCTCCATTAGCTGCGATTGTACAAGGCCTGACTGCAGGTTAACCTGTTCTTTTTATCAAAGGCAATGTCAAGGATGTCTCAGGTGCATCCAGACCATAGTAGACAGAGGCTGGAGCTTGTTTACTGTAACAGATTTTCTTTTGAAATGCTTGGGAGCCGTGCTTCCCAGATCATCGAGCAGGAAATGGAATCATTGGCTGTGTGAAGGTGTGGGTGTGGGCTGTCCCTTTTCCAGTGCCCAGCAGTAACAAGTTTTTTCTTCTGCAGAATGAGAGATTTGCAGCCCAGAGAGGGTGATAGGATATGAAGTTAAAATGGTGGTAATGGGAAATTGAGAGAAATATTATTTTTGAAACCACCCAGTGTATGTAAGAGTTAGTTTTAAGATTTAGATTTTTAATTTCCTTTAGATTTTTAGGTGTGTTTTTAAATTTAGATTGTTGGTTTCATTTAATCCTCATAGTAACTATATATACGTTTTGGAGTCCACCAAGTCTCATATTATATATGATAAACTAAGGCTTACAGTTGAAAATATTAAAACTGTACCTGTCAACTTTCTGACAAATAGCCAAAGAAAAAAAACACACACACACACACAAAAAAACTTTTTTCTTTATTTAGCCAGTGCCCAAGAGCACATGACTATTAAGTGGCAGAGCTGATTCCAACACAGGTCCTGGATTCCAAAGCTCCCTCTCAGGAGACATTTAGCATGAGTTGATGATAAGTGACAGACCTCTGCTAGGGAAACAGACAAATAGAGGCCATCCCTGCTCACCAGGGAGCTTGCAATTGGACAGGGAAGTTGGGGCAACAAATACCACACAATGAGACCTGCCAGAGAAAAGCCACTATGGCAAGAAAAGCTTTGTGGGGGGAGACGAATCCCAATTTGGATGATGAAAAATGATTATTGGTAAGTTGTTTTCTTGCTGCAAAAGTACAAATTAATTTTGTGCAATTCACAATGAATTTTGTGGATAGTAAAGATGTTTTTTCCTACAAGAATTTTTCATTTGTAATTTCATGCTTAAGTGGATCAGCATTCTTATCTTAAGTGCTTGGCATTTAATAGCCAGAGGCTTTTAAAATGTCTTTTCTAGAAGTGGTTGAATTGCATTGATTACATAGATCCTGGTGTCTTTTTTTTTTTCCCCCCCATTACGGTCAGTATTTTCTGCATGCCTATTGGGTGCAAAGTATAGATAACATTTAGGACTTTTTAAGAAAATATAATTAAGAAGAACTCCCTGCATTCCCCAATTCCCAGTCTTTGAAAGAAGTGGCAGGCTGTAATTTTTTCATAAGCCATTTATCCCATCAGCATATAACACTTGCCTATAGTTAGCAATGGCCCTGGCAATTTTGGATTGTGTTTTGGCACCCAGCCTYTTTAGTTGTACCATTTTGAAGAGGAGGGAGAAGTTGTGCTTGGAAACACGGGAGTGGTATACATATCTCAAGAGTGGAAAGAAGTGGTTCTTAGGTGTTGGGAAGAGCTGAGATGAGGCAGAAGGGAAAGAGAATAAAAGATGACTCTGTACCTTTAGCTTTATGTGAATTATCATATAATGTCCCAGTGGTCCTTAGACTGGTAGAGTGAAAAAGTGAGCCTGAGCAGTGCCAGGAAACACAGGCAAGGAGGGGATAGAGAAGGGAAGCAGATTGATTGTTGAGGATGAGAAAGCAAAGTACCCTACTTGGTATCCCTGAAGGGTAGTGCCTACCTGAGGTGTCACTGCCAGCTCTTGATGCTGGGTGTCTGAATGTACTCTGGGTATTTCTGCAGGCATGTTGCTGTCCCTCATTCATCTTTCCCGCTACCTTGTTAATTGACTGGTTTGAACCATTTGCTAGAATTTACATATAGGGATTCCTTTGCTGTTCTGCCCACATTGGTTTATAGCTTTTTTCCCCCTCTGCCTTTGCTCTCTCTGCCACCACACTCAACTCTGGGAATTTAGCCTTGAGCGCTATCCTCCTCCTCTAGAGTATTGAGCAGATGTTCACTTACTTCAGAGTCCCTGGTGGCAGGGGTACAAAGAAGCCAAGTTGCTCTCTTTCCATTTTGATCTTTCATCCAACAAGCCACACACATTTGAAGAATAGAATTCTTTGGATCTGGCTGATTGAGCCACATAGGCTATATAATTGTGTCAAGCTAGAGCTTGTCAGACTGCACTGACTTAAGTAATGTTCATGTCAGGACCACAGCTTTAAGACATTGACGCCTCTTCATTTCACTGTCAGCCATCCTAAACATTCCATTTTAACATGGGAAAATTTTAGATATGAATGAACCCCAAATACTCCACCTGTGTGACTGCTGGTCCTGTAAGAACATTATGATGTTAGCACAGCCATGTGTTCTTTTCTGCCACTCTCTGCAGTTCATCGTCTGGTTATAACTGTGGGGAGAATGAAGGAGCTGGTGTGTGTCCTTTTGCAATACCTTCTAAGTCTTAATAGCCCAAACTGGATGATTAATATGTCCTTTTCCCTTTATGGTAGGAATGATGCTTACACAAACACTAGCTGCAGCTGCCTTAACTATGTGGACTAGCTTCAGCCCCACATAAGGTTCCTATGACCTTGATTATGAGATTCTTAAGTCTCTTGGGCATTCTTACATGGGTTGCATAGCTTCCTATATTTAGAAAAGAGGAAGCAGAAACATGCAGGTTAATGCTTAAGTCATCACAGAATGAAAGTGTTTAACTTCTTTAGAGGATCAGTGAGGGCGCCCAAGAGGACAAACCCAGGGTGCTGGGAGGGAATTTCCTCTCCTGGGAGGGTGACCTGCCCTTGGCTGGAACTGAGCTCAGCCAGGTGTCACTGTGCTGGCGCAGCCTGCAGCTTGAGCAGCAAGGCTTTGCTTCCTGTGGGTCCAGCAAACTCTGGCGTGCTGTTTGTGGTTGTGGGAGGAGCTGCCCCCAGGCCGTGCCAGTTTGTTTGTCAGGTGCTGTCGCCAAGACACTCTGTGTTTTCACAAAGGAGAGTGCCCTAGTGTCTGGGGCCTCTCATTGTATCTAAATATTTGTCTTGGAAGTGACCTTATACACCACCTATCTCCCAGCACTCTGAGTGGCCTTGCTAGATTAGTGGAAGCTGGCACCAGCCTCTGGATGGGGCGCTGGCTTGGGTGTTTGGAGGTGGAAAGCCAGGCTCATGACTCAGTACTGCTGGCTGTCTGGATGGTTCTGAGTGTGGCAGCAGGGCAGGGTGAGAGGGACATAATCATGGGCACTGGACTCAGACCCCAACTGTGAACCTCAGCCCTGCCTTTCCTGCCTAACCTTGAACAGAATACTCAGTTTCCCTTCTTGTTGCTTTGCAAATCACGAAAGAACCCTGATACCTACTTTGCGGGGTGCTTTGAGAATTCAGTGACAAGCTAGGTATAGCTCTAGCACATAATAGCACCTCCATAAATTGAATTAATACTAATTGACAGTAGCAACACCTGCCACCTTAACTTTCACACATTTACCTTCTTTCCTTAGCAATAAAGTAGAAAGAATGACAGTTTAGGACTTGAATCCTGGCTTTTATCATTAGCCAATATTTCCTAGAAATGATAACTAAAATCACTAGCACTTATTGGAAACTCATTACATGTCAGATATACTTAAATGCAATAAGTTCTGATATTACCCCATTTTATAGATGTGGAAACTAAGTGCCAGAGAGGCAAAGTTATATACCCAAGGTGATAATCATGAAAAATGGGGAAGGAGGTTTAATAAAAATGCAGAGTATTTGAATTCCAAAGGTGGTAGTTTTAATTAAAAGCTTCAGGTACCCTGTCAGTAAAACTAATTAAGAAGCTTTAAATAAAATTCTAAATGCCAAGTGTCCTGTACATGAATACATAGATATATACAGGTATCTTTGAGTGGCTTTTCATCTGGGTTCTGCAAAGTAGCTTGTGCCCTTGGATATAGGAGACAGCTTGTAACAAAGTGACTTGAAGGATCCTGCCAGGTGTGGTGGTCCTGCCAGATCTGTCTTATTGCCTCAAGCTGACACATTTTCCTCTGCCTCTTGTTCTAAGCAGCAGACCTGTTTGGACTGTAAGAAAAATTTCTGCATGACCTGTTCAAGCCAAGAGGGGAATGGGCCCCGCCTCTGCCTTCTCTGCCAACGGTTCCGAGCCACAGCCTTTCAGCGGGAAGAGCTCATGAAGATGAAGGTGAAGGACCTGAGGGACTACCTCAGCCTCCATGACATCTCTACTGAAATGTGCCGGGAGAAAGAAGAGCTGGTATTCTTGGTGCTTGGCCAGCAGCCTGTAATCTCCGAGGAGGACAGGACTCATGTCCCAACCTTGTCCCCKGACTTTCCTGAGCAGCAGGCCTTCCTGACCCAGCCTCATGCCAGCACAGTACCTCCTACCTCACCCAGCCTCCCTTCTTCACCTACACAAGCCACCTCTGTTCCTCCTGCTCAGGAAAGTCAGCAGGTATGAGCCCGTATATGGTCCTGCCTCTCTGTTTACTGATGCAGGAAATATTGATTTCTGGACATCAGACTTGTGTTTGGGGTTTCTTCAGGGATGATGTGCATGGCACCATGTTTTGTGGTTTTTGTTTTTAATAGATATTATCCTAGTCAGACATTTAAAAAAATCATTGTTCCACAGATATTTTGAAGAACTATTCATTAGTTCACCATTAGCTCTGTAAATTTAGTTCTATTCATATTTGCGCTCCAATTTACCTTTGGTCTTCTATAGCCAGATTGGGGACTCATTCCATGGTAACCATCACAAGGCATATAGGAGAAAAGGACTCTAAGCAGGGAAGGAGGAGTTTCCTTGCTACTTTCCTGGTCACTGTGGTGTCCTTATCTCATGGGCCTGGAAATGGTAAGTTAAGGGTAGCACATTGACTGAACTGTGAGCTGGGCATGGGGAGTGCAGAAATGAGTGATCTCTATCCTCAACCAGCCCCTGAAAGAGAGAGGAGGATAGACCAATTCTTGGATTCTAGTGCAGCCAGTCGACTTAATTAATCCTAGTGTTAGGAGTAGTGGTGTCACACAGATCTACAGAAGTACTTTAGTGACCCTGATATCTATATGGGCAGTGGGAGATCAGGACTTAAATCTGGCTTCCACATTCTTTTTTTTTTTTTTGGCTGGGGATTGCTAGGTATTGAACCTAGGGTCTTGTGTTTGCTAAGCATGCACTCTATCACTGAAGTATCTCCCAGCCCCCTATCYACTTTTGTTCCTGACTCCTTGGTCACCTTGGAAAAACTTGCAACAATGACATGGGATCAGCAATCCCAATCCCCTTTTGATTTTGCCAGGATGGAGGAAGGCTTGAGTAGTGTGAAACCATGTCTAAAGAGCTTTGAGCTTCAGGACTGGTATGGTGCTAGCACTGTCCTTTCTCACATGTGACATAAAGTTGCCTCTTGTTATGATCACCTCCTTTGCCAAGACTGGGCACTCTTATTCAGCTCTTGACAGGCACTGAGGCATAAAGGCCAATGTGATCGCATAATTTAACTGCAGTAAAATCGTTTAACTCTCTAGTTGGCTTGAGCATGTTTTTCTCCCCAGCTGGACTTTAACTCTTTCCAAAGCTTTTGGTATGCTAGACAGGTTTCACCTCTTGCAATATGTTCCTCTTTTTGCTCAGGTTTTGGAGYACTTCTCTCTGTTTAAGGGAAACAAGGAGAGGAACTTGAGGAATTATTTTTTTAGCGAGGGTGGGGAGTTACTGGGGATTGAACCCATGGGTATTTAACCACTGAGCCACATCTCCATTTTTTATTTTTTATTTTGAGACAGGGTCTTGCTGAGTTGCTTAGGGCCTCACTAGGTTGCTGAGACTGGCTTTGAACTTCAGATCCTCATGTCTCAGCCTCTTGAGTAGCTGGAATTACAGGTGACACCACTACACCCAGCTTCAGGTGGATATCTATTTTTTTATTTTTTAAAATTTTATTTTATTTTTATTTTTTGATATCAGGAATTGAAACCCAGGGGCACTCAACCACTGAACAAATCCCCAGAGTTAGTTACTTTGGTAGATTTTTTAATGAAATATTATAAGGTTTTTGTCATTAACCAGAAATTTCCAGATGGCATCCACAGGTCACAACTGCATACTGGTTGTTATTGAGTACTTTTCCAGAGGACCTGAGTGTCAACTCACTTTCCTTGTCCTGATGAAGTCTACATTCTACATTTAGCAAGCAGGGCAGACAGGCATGGCCAAGTTAGGCACCCTATGCAAGGCTATTAGTTGAGTCTACAAGTGAGCTGTGCTCAGAATGCAAATCTTCTCATATTATTTGCTCCACTAGGGTTCTGTCCTTTACATTTAGTGCCGTAGTGACAGTTGCTAGGGAAGGAAAAGTCTGCAATAAACAGTGGACAGATATGAGTCGTGGATTTTGATTTAGCCAGTGGGCAACGTGGCAATACAGGAGCATGCTTTGTGGCATGAGGTCCAGTTTCTCTTTCTAGGAAACAAAGGACATACAAAAGCTGTCCACCAAGGAACAGGCTAGACTCTGAAACAGACTCAAGAGAATGATGGACACCATGTCTACATAAGTTAAGAGAGCTGGAGATGTAGCCAGGCATGGTAGCACACACCTGTAAATGCAGTGGCTGAGGCAGGAGGATCGAAGTTCAAAGCCAGCCTCAGCAACTTAGTAAGGTGCAAAGCAACTCAGTGAGACCCTGTCTCTAAATAAAATACAAAGTAGGACTGGGAATGTGGCTCAGTGGCCAAGTGCCCCTGAATTCAGTACCCAGAAAAAGAAAACTGGAGCTGTGGATGTTGTTTGGGATTCATCCCTATACACATGTAGGTTCTTATCGTCACCTGGCATATTGAATTGTTTTCATTTCCACAGTAGTTTGACTCTTTTGATAAGTGGCTAGGCCAGTGGGTGAATTTGGTTTCCCAAATTTTCCCTTTGTTGGTACTCTGAGGGTCTGATTGAAAGGCTCTGAGCTCATACCAGACCCATTTCCTGGAAGCAGCAGGGAGTGAAGAGGATCTAGTTAGGGATTTGTGGTATAAATAGTGATGGAACAGAAAGCTCAGAGCTGTAACTACTGTTTGGCAAACCCTCCCCTAGAGTAGCACCTAGGAGGCTCTTTTTGGGGAGCTAGAATTCTGAGTATTATGAAACTCTGCAAGCCTAGGCATTTGTCTTCTGTAGTCTTAGGTTGGTAGATTTGTAGATTCATTAAACGATGTTTGAACAGGTTTTGAGACACTCTTAGTATGCCCTGCTGGTTGAAGCACATTTTGAAGATGCGAGAGCAGTGACCAGGCTGGAGACAAGGACTAGAGTGGTGAGGATCTAGGCACTGTTCCCTCAGGTTCCATTGAGGAAGCCAGGGAGATTTAGTATGAAGGAGGAAGAGATTTTATGAGCCGTTTGGAAAAACAGTGGCCATTGTTCTGAGGGACAGAACAAGGGGCATTGGGTGAAAGTTGTGGAGAGGGAAATTTTGGATCAGTGTCAGGAGCAAACTTGGTGGTAGGGAGAGAGCAGTTCAGCAGTGGGATGGACACAGTGATTATGTTCAGGCTGATAGTAAATTGTGAGTGGGGGCCATTGCCATCTTGGTCGTGGGTAGAATTCACTAACACATTCTTATTCTGGAGGGCAGCTGTGTGTCTACAGAAATCTGTATAGTTTTCTCTGAGTGACAGGTTTGGTGTAGAGAACAGGCATTTGTGACACTGTTGTGGGAAGTTTGGTCTCTGGGGGATATGGGAATACATTTTGGACATGTGAGCTGGAAAGAGTCTCATGCTATGCAAATTTCCTGGACATCTCTGTGGATGTGATGGCACCTTTCTCTTCCCACAGGCCAATGGCCATGTGTCTCAGGACCAAGAGGAGCCTGTCTACCTGGAGAGCACAGCCAGAGCACCTACCGAGGATGAGACCCAGGTGGGGCCTCTACTCCGGTCTGCGCCTTTGCCTTTGCTCTTTCACTGGTATTCTTGGGATGCTCTTAAGAGCCTTTTAGCCGACTCCGAGGTGGAGAGAGAAGAAACCAGTCTGTGATATGATGGTCCTCAGGTTTTGTTCTCAGGGGAGTTTAGTGCTAGCATTCCATATGAACCTTTGGTGCTGTCAGTATGTGAGTAAGCAGGGATGAGGTCACAGTGGAGACTGGAGCCTTGTGGCCCATTATGTTCCCGGTCTTTTGACTTTCTAAGAGCTGCCAGAGGGTAGGCTATAGGTGCTACTGTAAAAACCTAGTTGTTCTTTTCTTTTGCGTTCTCACACAGTAGCCATTGTCAGGAGGAGAGGGTCAGATAATGAGGAGTTAAGGCCAAGGCCAGTCCAGACAGCACAGCTGTCAGGGCCAAGAACCATGATTGAGGATGTGTATGGCCTCTTCCAGAGGCAAGCAGTTCTCTCCCAGGCAGAGAGACAGGCGAGCACCATGCTTGGGGGTTTCATGCGCTGCCACATTTGATCTTCATACGAACCTTGTATGGTAGCACTGCTTTATCTATTTTGTGGAGGGGCATACAGGCCCAGAGGAGAGAAGCAGCTTGCCAGGAATTATTTAACATTTAGATAGCAGAGGGGTCAGATCAGAATTAGGGCCGTCTGACTCAAGACCGTGCTCCCTGTATATGTTATACTTCATAGTTGTTTTGTGGCTACCTGCACCTGGGCACAGATCTGTGAGTCAGGAAGAGACTCTAGTTCAGTTTGCAGTGCAAAGGCCCATMCCAGGCATTCCTTTGTCTCTGTTGTTCCTACTCTTCTTGAGGTCCATCACCAAAATGCAGTGCAATGAGTGAGTTGGGGTCCTTGAAGAAAGGTGCTTGGAGGAAGTAAGAGCTGAACCCCTCCATCTCATCTTTGCCATTTCAGTCCATTGACTCTGAGGACAGCTTTGTCCCAGGCCGGCGGGCCTCTCTGTCTGACCTGACCCACCTGGAAGACATTGAAGGCCTGACGGTGCGGCAGCTGAAAGAGATCCTGGCTCGAAACTTTGTCAACTACAAGGGCTGCTGTGAGAAGTGGGAGCTGATGGAGAGAGTGACACGGCTGTACAAGGATCAGAAAGGACTCCAGCACTTGGGTGAGGGCTGTCTGGGTGGCAGCTACACAGAGCTCTAGGGTGTTTGCTATCACCCCAAAACATGATGGCATGACCTGATTCAGTTGCATGCTTTTAAGCTGAGGAGGAAGGCCACTTAAATTTGTACCATCTAATCATAGCTGTCACCTGTGGTTAAGTGCCAAGACTTGGTTCATATTGTACACACTTGTTTCATCCTCAAAGCAACCTGAGCAGGGAGGGGGATTATTGGCATTACCCCCTTATTGTGGAGCTCAGGTTTGAATGGAGGATTTTCTAGTCTAAGCCCATGCCTTTCCTGCCATACGTTGCCTCCTCCATACTCACCCCTACTCCAGCAACACATGCATATTTGGGAGATTAGGAAGTGAATCTCAGCAACCACAGTGGGAGAACATATCTGTTCTGCCAGCACTTGGGCCATACCTTTTGTTCATTTCCCAAAGCATTTGACATGACATCATTTTCAGGAGTTATCTAGTACAATATCTTAGTATGTGGTTGAGTCTGGGGAAATATTTAATGCCACACTGATTTCATGGTAGGTATTTTTTTAATACCTACCTACAGAAGAGAAAGGTGTTTGGCTGTTTTGAAGTCAATATTTCCCCCCAATTTTTCACCATCAAACCCTCACCTTCCTTCCCATTCCCAGCTGATACAGTTCCTACAGAGCTTTATTTGATTCCTTGCATAACAGTGGTTGAAGCCAGATGTCAGGCTCTCTTCTAATAAATTCAAATGGCAAAAATTCATCAGAGTTAAGAGACATCTAAGTACTCACCTGGTTGCAGACTGAGACCTACTGACATGGTGTCTCAGTTTTCTCTGAGATTCTCTCAAGTCTCCCTAGAGTTGCAAGGACCTGGGGAGTAGAATAATGACTGCATGTGAGAACTTTATCCAGAACCCATGACTGAATGAAACAGCCAGATTCTTGGTTCTTTTTTTTTTTTTTTTTTTTTACTTGAATGCTGAATTCAAAGGCAATAGGAAAGGATGCGGCATATTTAGAGTGTCCTTCAGGTGGTTTTGCTCCTGCAGACTAATGGAGGACCTTCTTCTAAGAGTAGAGCAGATGCACCAGCAGGAGCTCTGTGGGAGTTCTCAGCATGCAGTGAAGGAGGAGGGCAAGTGTCTGTGCAGACTTTTGACAGGCCTGGTTCCCAGCAGGGAAGTGGCTAGAGTCAGAAATGACATGAGGGTGGTGGGCGACTTCCCTTGTGCCATCACACCATCACATATTTAGACATCTTTCTCTTTCCTTTTCAGTGTGTGGTGCTGAGGACCAAAACGGTATGTAGTTGTTTCTTTTTGGAAATGGGCTTAGGCTCCTACTGATTCTGTCCTCCTCCCATCTTCAACCCTAATCCCTTTTGACATTCTTAAAAATTATGAGCATATGGGTTTCCAAAGAGAGGGTGTGTGGAAATTCACTGGGGTTTCTCAGCATCTTTAGAAATGCTCATCCTCCTGTCCTCTGGGAAGAAAGCAGAGTGACAGTGTGCCCAGGGGCAGATTGATCTTCACAGCTCTGGGCTGCCTTTTTGCCACAGTCCTGCTCAGTTTGTTTTTTCCTAATTCTGTGTTTCCACTCAGTTGTGGTCTAGGTGGGAAAGTCACTTGAGATGTGTACCAGCTTCTGGTACCAACCAAAGAGAAAGGGTGGTGAACTGAAGGAGCTATTTGTATGGGGCTGGGCAGTAGTCAGCTGCTGTGGAAAGAGCAGGATTGGAGTCACCTGGAGTGCTCTCTGAGCACAAGGTGCATCTCCCACCTCAACTGCTGTAACCCACCGGTGTGTTGAGGTCCACCAGTGGTAGGGCTCCAGGATACACTCTTGACAATCCAGGAAGTATTCTAAACTGTGTTACATCATTTTGAAAGCCTCAAAATGAGTTGTGAGTTCCTTCCCAAGAAAACAGTCTCAGAGTAGTGTTGTGGTCTGCAAAGCATTTTAAACCTTTTTCAGAGCACTGCCCAAATTTGTTAATTAGTAAAATGGCCTTTTGCTCAGAATGGAGCAGGGAGTTGAGCTTTTCTGTTTCCTGAACTGTCTGGAGGCTGGGTTCGTCCCTCACTTGGTGCCTGCCTTTTTTTTTTTCCCCCTGTTCCCTGGGAGAATGCTGAGGACTGGGTTGATGAATTTATTGTTGCTCCTGAAAAAAGGAAAAAGTAACTGAAGTTCTACAAAGTGATCCTGTAGATCTTGAGATTTGTAGGCCTTCCAAACCTTCCCTGTTAGGGCAACAGCCCCTCAAGAGAAATAAATAGGTTTTACTCCCATTCACAGCTACCTACCTCCTAGGGGAGATCTTTCTTGACTTTATGACTTGTTCAGAGAAGAGAAAAAGAAACTTTAGAAGCAATAGATTGAGAGACTGCCCCTGTGGAATGGTGAAGCCCCATATAACAGTGACTGGTATGAAACTACTTCTCTGTTTATGGTGACCCAGTTCAGGTGCAGTTTAAGACATGCTAGAAATAGCCGGAGTTTTGAACATGAAGATTTTTTTGTTTATGCAGCTGAACTAGTATACTGGACATGCTTACCATATCCTACCACTGGCACAAGGCAGTTAGCATTTGCTGAGAACTCTGTGCACTGGGCAGTTAATACTGTCTCAGTAGTCTCTACCCACAGAGCACTTATCCAGAAGGCTATACTGGCAATGAGCAGCTGTGGGACCCGCCTGCCTGGGTTTGAATCTTGGCTCATCCAGTTAGTAGCTGTGTGCTCTTGGGCAGTCACTTAACTCTAGCCTCAGTTGCCTTATGTATAAAATGAGAAAAGTAAGTTTACCTACTTCATAGTTCCTGTGAGGATTCAGTGGGTTAATACATGCAAAGTTCTTTGGAGCCTGTTGCACATTAGACATTTGGTCAAGGTGAGCTTCTTCGATTCCCTTGGGAGACATTTTTTTATAAGACATTTCGAGAATATCTACTGAGTGACTTGTGATTTGGGGTTTCAAAGATGAATACGAAGCCTCAGCACATAGCAAATGCTAAGTATATGATTGTGGAAATTGAGTATGTTAAATTAAATCTACTTAAGTCTCCTTGGGGGAGACTGATAAGTAGGCAAACCAAAAATAGAATACAATGTGAATAGCAGTCAGGGGGCCAGAAGAAAATTTTGTGGGACTGGCACAGAGTGGGGAGTGGTAAACTGCTGAGCTCCTGCATCAGGAATTCTCCTCAGAAAGCTAGTTTATGGGATAGCACAGGAGGCCCCCATGATCTTTAACTTCCTTAAATTGGGAATGTGTTTATAGGTAAGCCTCATGGTTCCTAATGCACCATTCATTACAATTCTGCTTATGTCTAAACTTCCTGAACCAGTTTTGTCTTTTTTTTAAAGAGAGAGAGAGAGAGAGAGAGAATGCGAGTGCACTAGAGAGAGAAGAGAGAGCAAGGGAGAGCGAAAGCAAGGGAGGGAGACAGAGAGAGAGAGCAAGAGAGGGGGCTCCGGCAGGAGGGAGTTTTTTTTTTTTTTTTTTTTTTTTAAGAGAGGGAGAGAGGAGAGAGAGAGAGAATTTTTAATATTTATTTTTAGTTCTCGGTGGACACAACATCTTTGTTGGTATGTGGTGCTGAGGATCGAACCCTGGCCGCACGCATGCCAGGCGAGCGCGCTACCGCTTGAGCCACATCCCCAGCCCCCCAGTTTTGTCTTTTCTGCATATTCTACCTCAGGAGCTAATGAGTCCAAGTACCCCTCACTCACCATATTACACCCTCAGTTGTCTCATTTTGTAGGGTGGGGGATACCAGGGATTGAACTCAGAGTCACTTGACCACTAAGTCACATCCCTAGACCTGTTTTGCATTTTATTTAGAGACAGTGTCTCACTGAGTTGCTTAGTGCCTCACTTTTGCTGAAGCTGGCTTTGAATTTGTGATCCTCCTATCTCAGCCTCCTGAGCTAATGGGGTTACAGGCATGTGCCACCAGCCCGGCTTATCTAATTTCTTTTAAGCTTTGAGGACTTTGCCCTAGTTTCCATGCTCTGGCTGTATTTTTTCCACAGTACTATCTTCAAATCTATAGTCTTGGGAGGAGGTATGGATTAAACAAGCAACTGGGATTAGTTGCTAAGTTTTCTGGAAGGAGCTCTATTTTGAGGGAAGTGTGTGAATTTGGGGGATTTCATTTTGCCAATTTTCTCCCACCTCTGTCCTCTGACTTCCCAAACACACTGAAATAATTTCTGAGACAATCTGAGACAATGGATACTCTGTTCACTTTTTCCTCTGCCCATTTCCTGCACTGTGTGTTTGTACAGGGGGAGCAATGCCGTCTGGACTGGAGGAGAACCTGTGTAAGATCTGCATGGACTCACCCATTGACTGTGTTCTGCTGGAGTGTGGCCACATGGTAACCTGTACCAAATGTGGCAAGCGCATGAATGAATGTCCCATCTGCCGGCAATATGTGATCCGAGCTGTTCACGTCTTCCGGTCCTAAGGGCTGGCACCGGCTTCTTCAGTGCCTTACAGGGATATAGCCCAGGGTATCTGGGCTCAGGGTTGGTCAGCTTGCAGAGGGGCAGGCTAACAGGAAATTTTGTAGTGTTCCCAAGACCAGGGCAAGCAAAGATGCCATGTTATACCTCGGCATGCTTGTCTTGCCATAGGGGTGCACCTCTTGGCTGGCAGAGCCCCCGAGGCCAGTGGGAACTGGTACAAATCACATGGGTGAGTGCCTGCATTAGTGATCTTGGGTGATGGTAGTAACTGATGAACAGAGGACTTTCCAGAACTTGGACCATGTCTTCCTTCCTGAGAACCTAGACACATTTTCACCCTTCCTCCTGTATCCCACCAGTCAGAAGTCCTCCTAGATCCAGCACATTTGGATTTAAACTTCTGGTCTCTCTGGCTTTCTGTGCTTTAACATACCTGTCTTTTGCTATACTGCCTAAAATCCGTTTGTTTCTTTGGACCAAAAATGTGTTAGTTTATGTGGTTAAGACCAACAGTGGTACTTAGGACAGAATTTGGATCAGTAAACTTACCTCTGGTGAGAAAATTCTATAGGAAAATGTTATAGAAAATTTTCGATTTGTGAAGTCACTTCCTTAAGGGTTGGGATTGGGAGCTATCAATCTCCTAACCTGATCTAGGGAGCCAACAAAACATCTGACTCCCAAACAGCTGGGAAATCTAGTCTAGTCTTTGTGTGCAAGGGATGGTGCATGGATACTCTATTGCTTCCTCTTTGGGGGCTTGACCTTGCAACATCCTGAACTTCAGATTATGAGGAAGGGGACGCATTTGGTGGAGGCAGTGGCTTTCTTCTTAACTTTGGCTTCTGATCCTCTTCCTACAGACAGGACTGTTAACCATTTCAATGAAATTTCTCCCTTTCCCACTGAGGTTTTAAACTTGGTCTCACCCAAGGCATAGACAGGCTCAGGCAAAGAGCGTTGCTCTCCTCTAGCCAGACTTCTCATGAAGTTCCTGGAAAAATACATGTAAGAGCACCTAACTAAACAGCTGGAAGTCCCTGCTTTAATTTCCTTTCTCATTCTGTAGATTTGGGAACAGCATTATCTGGACCATTTATGAAGGGCCATGTAATGAGTAGGTAATGTTTTTGAGCCCTCCGACTGTTTTTTATACCCCTGAATGAGCTGGAGAAGCACAAAAGAGCACAGAACACGCCTGCTGTCAGAACTGTGTGCGCCCATTACCAACAGATAAAACACACTCGGAATACCCAAGGGCCTTGGCAGAATCTCCCCTCTCCCAATATGCTGCAGCTGAGGTCCGAGACTAGAACCAATCAATTGTGATTCTGGAAGGCAGAGGAAAACTTCTAAGGGGACCTATTATCTTAGAAAGTTTTTTTTATCATCAACCACTAAACACCTTAAGAGGTGTAGTTGGCAATGTTATTCTGGGCCACTCGACTCAACCTTATACCAAGTCAGAATAATCGGGCCACAGTTGGCATCAGATTTTCCTGTCAAGACTCTGCCTTTCACCTTTCTGCTGAATAGTTAGTACTGTAGTTTATAATGCCTACCAGTTTATCAAAGGGATTGATTCAGCTTCCTCAATTCCACTGTGAAACAGATCTGTGTATGCAACTCAGTTAGATCTAGCAATAACTTCAAGGCTCTCCCTCCTTTCTCTGCTGAGGCCTCATCTCCCCTACCTCCCAACTTTCCTCCTAGATAGATAGGAAYTGAAAATAACATACTGGTGGCTGGTTGGTGACCTCAGTAAGAATTGGAACTGGTGCCACTCAGTTTTAAAAATAAGAACTTGCCTTTAAATCTCATCTTTTGGTGAAGGTTTCCATTGGGGAAAAAAGATGTCAAACAACCGATTTGTTTTTGTATTGTCTTTATTATTACACCAAATAAAAGTTGGGAATTCTAAGATCCCATTCCAGTTCATATTTAACCCAGGTAGAAAACCTGCTATTTTATCCTTGAGCCTCCCCTTTTGTCCCTCATGGATCCTTGGTCTTAATTATCACAGCAACATCTAATTCCTCTAGTTATTCTGTGGATTTTGCTGTGATTGCTGAGATTTCAGTCAAGACTTGTTTTAAAAGACTTGGACAGCTGACTGGTTCATAATACCTTGGAATAGTTGGATCCAAACTAATAAGAATAAGCTGTACAGGAATTAGTGCTCAATATATATTGTATAAATTTGTTGAAATCTCTTGGATGTGAATGTTACTTCAAGTGGCTTATATTAAGATTCTCAGACTCACTTGGGTGTTAAAGCAAACCCAAATGTGTATTTTTTGTTACAGAGCTCTGCTTTATAATTTTGTAATAAAGTTTCAACATAGATGCCTGTTGGATCTGGTGTGAGGATGCCAGAGGTCTGCTAGATTATTGACAAACTGATAAACTACAGGTAAATCCAAGGCTATGTGCACAAGGTATGCTCTTGAGAGATTATTTTTTGAAATGTTGGGCCATGGGACCTTGGTCAGTATCCCTGCTCAGAAGCAGTATGTGGAAGAGGCCATAAAACAGCTGGGAAAGGAGAAGAAGCTGTGGTAGGGAAAGGATGAATCCCTAGACTAAACGTGAAGAAGCACCAAATGAGTTCAGATATTTACAGTAATCTAGTTAGTATTGCTAAGCATTCAAGATCTAGGTAGAAAGGAATCGAGGACAGCCAGTGTAGCCAGTAAAAGTCTTCAGGTTACCCTGGCAGGTGTATGGTAGCTTTTGGGTACAGTCGTGGTATGGCTGAAACGGCTCAGAAAAGATGGGCCCAGCTTCAAGGGTAGACTGTGTGTGCATAGTCCTGCACATTCTTTCCTAACCAACTGCCCAGGGGGAGGAGAGTGCAGCCCTTGGGAGAGTAGGGTGATGTGGATACATGTCCTGTGGTTGAAGACAGAAGAGGAGGGAGACTGGCTCAGAGGAAGGTTTGAGGCTGAGGCACATCATTTGGTAACAGTGCTGTGGACGGTACCCAGTGGTGACTTCTACCTGTTGCCAGCCAGCAGCATCTAAAGAACAGCTGAAAAGGGGGCAGGTGGCCAGTGGCCTGGGGAGGTTTAACATGGTGATGATTAGGGTCAGGTAGAAATAAAGGATATAAGATTGTATATACAGTTTAATCTGTGCAGCAACGAAAAAGATGCACCCAAGACTGGAAGGAAACATACAAAAGACTGATGAAGGTAAATTGAAGCTGATATCCAGGAAGGCAGAGAAGGGTCAAGGGCTGAGCTTGTGGCTAAGATCATGGCCTGTGGCTGGGAGGCTGCCCCGAGGATGAAAAGTCAGTGCCTTTGGCAGAACTCGGAGGGAAGCCTTGTTCTGTCCTTGCCCACTTGCTTGGCCTGAGGCTGGAAATCTATGCAGGCCATTGCTCAGAGCAGCAGCTTTGTGTCCATAGGACAGACTAGGGTGTCTTAGTCCCAATACTGAAGCCAGACTGAAGGGTGCCAGTTCAAAAACATGAGGTGTCCTTTCCTAGCAAGGACAGCACCTGCACCACCTCCCTGCCTTCCAGGTGGAAATCAAGGTCACATCCAAGCTGGCCTGTAAGAGGCCTGACTGGCAGCCTCCCATACCTTAGCTGAGTACATGGGGCAGGGGGGTGTGGCCCTCTATCTTACAAGTTCAGATGCTCATGTGTTTAAAAGGGTAAATCCAATTCAGGAGGTAGACAAACAAGCCTGCTAATGCAATAAGGAAAAAGAGCTCATTCTCATGAGGTGGCAAGACTGAGACAGAAGCCACACAGAATATATAACCACACAGAATCCTGATAAGCCTGCAGTCAGAGCAAGGAGAGTTTAAACAGGCAGGCATAGTTGTGGGTTCTGCAGTTAAAAGCCCTCCTGGCCACACAAACCAAAGGTGACATTCCCAACTCTACATATTGTGTGCCACATTCTGACATGTATCTAAGGTCACTGACAGCCACCCTGTGATTTAGGAGCAATGAATTTCCCCATTCTATAGGAATTGGTGCTCAGATGGTTAACTTGCTAAGGTTATAGCTATTAAATTTCAGGACTGTCTATACCTGTCCATTGTGGTGGTCACTACTGACTTGTGGCCATTTGAATTAAAAGAACTTCAGTTCCTAAGTTATGCTAGCCACTTTTTTTGGAGGGTGGGTACTGGGGATTGAACTCAGATGCTTTACCACTGAGCCACATCATGACCCTTATTATTTTTTGAGACAAGGTCTCACTAAGTTAGGACCTCACTGAGTTAAGGCTGGCCTTGAACTTGTGATTCTCCTGCCTTAGCCTTCCGAGTCACTAGGATTTTAGGTGTGCACCACTGCACCCAACACTTGTCACATTTCAAATGTTCAACAATCATACGTAGATTCAGAGGATATTTCCATTTTATCCATTGCTGCAAAAACAGCTACTGGTACCACTCTTCTATACAAACTGTTTTCCTTTTGTTCTTCAAACAAATCAGTCACAGGTGGCACAGGAGCTGGCAGGTCTTTGTAAGCAGGGCATGTAGACTTGTACTGAGGTGTGGATTTGTATTCTTAAAAGGCATTTATTTCCAGATTTTGAGGAGGCAGGTTGATCTTTTTGGAGCCTCTATAACCCCACCCTAGTAGCCCAAATAACCTCCCTCTCCCCATACACAGGCCTCATTTCCATCCAATCCTAGTCCCTCCCCTGTAATAGAGAACACGGAGAATAAAGTCATCAAAATTAATTTTGTTCTCTTTCAAAAGATAGTTAAGTTTTGCCAAATGTAAGATGCATTTCTTGGGGTGGTCTTTTAAATACAGCTTTAAAGGAATGGAAGTAAAATGAGGCAGCGAGAAGTCTGCCGCCAGCTTTAGTAGCCCAGCTTCACTCCTTGACCACTAAGGAAACTAAGGGAATGGTGGGGGAAGGACAGATGCTGCAGGATGTTTCATTTATAAAAATAACTCAGCTTTTTGAAGAAAACAAAAATGACAAAGCCAGCACCCAGATTTGAGATCTGCTTAAACAGCAAGAGAAACTGACTTGTGCCCACAGCAAATAATTCCTGCTCCAGAAGAGACCATGAAGACTTGGCAGATTTTGGAAGACTGCTGCCTGAAGACGAAAGGACAACCCCCTGTTCCTCCACCTACCTGCCTCCAGGCTAAGGCTGGTAGAGTAGTGTGGTAAGGGAGCAGATGTCCCAAGGGGGCAGGAAGACCTGAGTCCTAGCAGGGAGCTACCAGCCTCCGTTTTCGTATACATGCCCAAATCCACTCTGGGGAGACCAGCTGGGCCTCAGGGTTCTTGTCCCTGCTACCCAGCACGTGTGTGGCTGAGGCAATGTCAAATTCCTGCACTAGGTCCCCATCAAATGCCACAAAGTAGCGTCTGAGACGGCTGAAGTCTGGGGTGGAGGGTGGCAAGTGGAGCCGCACCCCAGTGAAGATGTCCAGCAGCACCTGCAAACACAGAGGGGTCAGGGAGGGGTTGGCGTGGCGTGCAGGTGGGTCTTTACCCAGTTTAGTATAATACAGTTCACTTAGGACAAGAGCCAGAGATGGAGGAAGCCTAGAGTTTAGGACTTAAGTAGAAAGTGCGTCCTGGAGAAAAGACACTGGTGTCAATCCCCCCCCATCCTCCAGTCACTCTGGATGACACAGGCCTGACATTCCTCCCTTCCCTGTCAGGTGGTGATGAGGAGGAGATGGGTTCCAACATTTGGGACCTAGATATGGGAAAAGGATGTGTCTCCAGGAGCCAACCAGTGGCTGTGACTCAATGACCTCCCCTTAAGATCACAGTCCACTGCACAGGTGGGTAGACTGCAGGGTCAGTAGTCTTGCTCATTACTATGCATAGGTTCAAGGGCTTCAAGGAAGGGAGAAGGAAATGGTTTCTACTAGTCTGCTGGGAACTGGGTTCAGGCTATGAGTTGTCAAGACTTCTGTGCTTCTCTTGGGTGGGGCACAATCATTCTAGGGATTAGCTTTACTTCTCCCTCCACCCCTTGGGCCAGCAGTTCCTCAGGGTTGAGCCAGTGCTAACCCAGCTCCTGGCCTCAGCAGGCGAGGCGCTCAACAGATGTTGCCAAACAAGACTGACAGCATAAAGGGAAAAGTCATCAAAGCAGTGCACTCTCCCTCCTTGCTGGCTGGACCTGCTCCCCCAACCACAGACTCACGCTGCACCCCACACCCAGACTGGGCTTTCTCCCCTTTAATGTAAATTTGACTGGGGACTGGCAGCTGGGCTCTATCTCCTGCCTGCTGGCACAGCTCTCCTTCCTCTCTGCCGGCTGGCTGGCCGCCTCTGCAAGGTAACAAGAGGGCACAGGGTGGAGTAGCAGCACGCTGGCCTGCCTGAGGGAGGAGCAGCTGTGGGAGGGGAAGGACTTAACAAGCCTCCCCCAACTCCTCTGCTCATCTTTCAAAGTTCATGTGCACAAGGCTGGAAACGCTGGGCCCTGGGCCAAACTGGCCTGCCTCTGCATTGTCATTGCACTCACCTTTGCTTGGTATGGCATCTCATCAGTAGCTTTCCTCTTCTCCCCAACTTTCACTGAAGACTTTGTGGTAGGCTTATTGCCTGCAGGACAAAGTTGTGGATGAGAATTAGGAGAGGAAGAACTGCTGATCATGGTTCCTAAAGTTGGGCCAGATCCTTCCCCTGCCATGAGCATGGGTGAGAGGGAAGAGTTATCAGCCCAACGCTTTAGCTCAAAAGTGGCTTAGTCCCCAGTCACACCAGCTCTCTGGTGCACTATCATTCAGGTTTGCTGAGCTGATAAGGGGTGCCTAGTAGAGCAGCTTCTGATCCATGGCTGGACACACACCAGGAATGTGGTCATTGTCAGCGCAGTGGATACATGATCACATGTTCTCAGAGCTGGAATGTGAGATTGGGTCCCTGCCCCTATGCCCCCCAGACCCCCTTCTTTATCCTGGCTACCTTTGCTGTTGGGGATCCTCAGCTTCCCTTCAGCCTTCTGGGCACTGGGAAACGGTTTGTTGGGGGAGGCTCTGGGGACCTTGCGGGATGCAGCAGACCCAGAAGTGCCCTCGTTCTCGCCATTGCTGCCTCCTGTAGTGGAGCTTCCCTCATCTCCAGCCACCACAGTGAAGTCGGCCTTCTCCTTGGACAGCTGATACAGTTCCTGAGAAGGAGAAGGTCAGGTGCTATCACTCCCTTCCCCAGACATGCCTCAGAGGGTGCTGTGTGGTCTGTTTTAGGCACGCGTGGCTGGGGAAACAGGTGAGAAAGACAAAGAGCAAGGAGAAAAGGAGGTGGCTTCCTTGGTGCTTTTCCAACATGGAGCCTTCATCCGAGTAACTGGTGCAAATCCCTGTTCTCTTGACTCCAGCTCTTAATCAGCAAAGGACTTGGGCAAGGCCTCATGAGGCAGCTAGACCAAAGGCCTTTCAGGGGATCCTGAAGAAAGTGAGACCGTCTACCTGGAGCTGGTGGGAAGGGCCCTCATGCCAGTTTGATCTCCCTTTACTTGCCCTCCTTGCTATATCAGTGGAATAGGGTCAAGAGGAAGACAGGACATGTCAATAGGCCAGATGCCCAAGGTTCTAAGACTGAGATGGGGTTGGAGGACAAATATGCAGCCTGAGAGCTGGCACCTTGAGTTGGGGGAGGTTAGTGGCAGATTTCCAGTCCTTGTCATCTCGGATTCGGGTACAGCGGGGAAATCGGATGGATATCCCATCAGCGGTGTGAGCCTCAGATTTGGAGAATTCTGCCCCTGTGATCTCCCATACAGCAGCTTTCTGTCAAGAGCAAGGCAGAAAGGTCAGGTCATCTCTAGTTGAGAAGGAAACACCTCCCATCAGCCAGAAGCAAAACAGAATGAGTCAAAACACAGAGGCTCTGGCTTGCAGCTAGGAGACCTGGGTGCTAGTCCTGCCTCTTCTGTGAATCCATTATTTAGAAATTAGGCCAGGGCTGGGGATGTGGCTCAAGCTGTAGCGCGCTCGCCTGGCATGCGTGCGGCCCGGGTTCGATCCTCAGCACCACATACAAACAAAGATGTTGTGTCCACCGAAAACTAGAGATTAGGCCAGGTCCCATTAGAACAGACCCTCTGTGACAGGGGGTGGGTATTCTATTATCTTCTCCACTGAAGACAATTCCTCAGCGGTGGCCAGTCATCCCTAGGCTTCTCACTTGGCTGAATAATCCAGATCCCCATCTCAAGGTGACTTTCTGTGAGGTTTGGATAACTTCTCTGTGGCCCTAGAGAACTAACTTGCAAACTGATTCTGTAGGCTAGAAGACCCCAAGCCACTGGGCTGATACCTTTGGGTCTGGAACGATGAAGTCAGGATAGTAGATCTTGTTTATCTTCAGCCAGGAGGGTATTTTGCTGGGATCCTGGAGGAAGAAAGATGCTGTTCTGGGCTGTTCCTAAGCTGCAACAAGGCTTAAACCCCTCTTTTGGTAATGAAATTGTGAGATGTGACCAACTCCTCACCCATGTAATCCTCCCTGCTCAAAGGGAGTGAGGCCTCCAGGACATGCAGGCCACTGTCTACAAGGCGGGCACTCCAAACAGCACTCTCCTTACTGGGGAGGAGATAAATGATATCTGCAGTCCTCAAAGCGCAGCGTCTGCCTCATAACAGCCCATCAGAAGCCAGGATCAACAGGGTCCCTTGCTCACCTTGCTGATCTT